GTGTTCTACGGAATTCCGCTAGAGGGCACATCCAAAATACCCGGATGACGAGCCTGAGTGGGGTTGTTTTTATTGAAGTTCTGTATTCTTACATGCGTAAATCAATAGATTGGAAAAGCAAAAAAATTTCAGAACTCCGCAAATTTCTTCAGGATCGTGGTATAACTTGCAGCAATGTTCATAAAGCTAAACTTTTTGAACTTGTTGAGTTAGCAAACGAATTAAATGTTCGCCAAGAGTCAAACAATCGTCGTCGTACTGTAAAACACAGTAAGTCGACGATAACTCTGGTAGATCCGCGTAACGTAAAAACTTGGCAAAAAAAACTTCATACTTTGTCTTTGTTTGAAATAGCTGATATGTTTGCATATTTTTTGCATCAAAGTGACTGGACAACAGCCAGACTGAAAGAATATCGACTTAGTAATGGTTATTTGCTTCATAATTTCCGTAAAGCTTCATCATGTGCAGAATACAGAATTTTTTTTCATTATGGCAGAGTGTATTCGGCAATGATCCATGAAGGAAAATCCCTACAAGCCATGGTTTATTATTAAATCAAACTATACACACGTTTTTTTCCTTCCGTATTTATTTTAACTTCAACTTCGCAAAAAATGCCATCATAAGGATTCTGAACAAGAAGATCGATGTGGGAATCGGCAACGAGCGAATTTTTTCATCAAATCCGGCTCAATGTTTTCGTTTGTGCTCATCTCGAGAAGCTGACAGAGTCTTTGTTTTTCAATCGATGTATAACTGCGGTTGAAAGACGGCTGTCTCCAGTTATTGAACTAAAAAAATACTGGCGCAGGATGGAAAATGCCATGAACAAACCCGGGAATATAGTTTTACTCAGGTTCCTGACAACGCATCCGAATCCACTGGCGTTGAAGTGTTGATTTCTAGGACGAAAGAAATGTATGAAAGGTTACGCCTTTCATCTCAGGATATTTCGCTGTTTTTTCTTTTTAATCGAACCCCAGGAACCATTTTTAACCATTTTAACCAATTCTTGCAAAACGTTTGTCAAAAATAAGACTTTGGCAACAGTAACTACTCGTATATTGCTTTCAACCCCACCACGAACGTTGAACGGACTGTCATCCGGGTGCTTTGAGAACGCTCTCTATCGAATTTCATGAGAAAAATAGTAACTCGGAAATTAGGAATTCCGGAAACGGATCTCAGTCATGCATGGATGGATTTTGTTCAGATTTTGTACAATGTGTTGTACATATGCAGGTGCATTTCAGATCAGACCATTGAAAGTGGTCTGAGATTTCGGTCATGATCTTCTTTGAATATGAACGGAACAGGGACGTGTCATTGACAATGACTTGTTATTTTGAAGACTCGGCTGGGCTTTCTTGCCAGAAATCCCAGGGCGTGACCCTGAGCTGACCGTCATCCCATGCCGCACTTGCATAGAGTGGGCAAGGAGGACCGTCTGGGACGAATTTTATGCCCGGTCCGAGCTCTAAGCATGAGGGGCAGTGAGAAGCGCATGTTTGTCTGTTATGGGCAGGGCAAACAGAGCCACCCTTCTTCGAATACCACCATTTCGCGATGGATTGTTGGATACGGTCGTGGAAGCGTATAAGTTAACTACTTCTTCATCGGTCTGTTTGGAACGCTACCAGGCACCACTCATTGGCTTTGATGTCTGGGGCCTCGCTTGAGCAGGTGCTTCGAGCAGGGTTCTGGAGATCTCAGAATGTCTTCAGTAACTATTAACTGAAATAAAACAGTGTAGTGACGTGCCAAGTAACCTGCTAAATAACGAGATAATTCCGACGTCAAATTCTATTTTGTCCAGCAACAGTGTACAAACGTGCGCCAGTGTCGGTGACGATCACAGTGACCAGCTACACCAGAACGGACATATTTCGTATCTAACTCAACCCCATGCAACAAAAATTGATATTATGTGTTCATTATGGTCCATTCTTCCTCGACGAACAAGTACATAAGTGACAATATTAGTCAAAGACGAGAAAACTGCACAAGAAATTTCCCTTATTTACACGTATCGGCAATGCAAGCTGTCATGTGACTTCCCCTTCTGACATCACAAGGGGAATTTCTGTATGCAAATGAGAAGCTAATGAGGAGCCTCGTTTTAAAATGCACAAAAATAAAGTTGTCGTAGACTGAGTTTAAAACACATTTTTTCACTTAAAAAAATAATTCATGCTTAGAAACATAAAAATTAATAATATTTATATATCAATTGATAATTTTAGGCGTGAAAATAGCAGCCATTTCATAGGCACTTTAAAATTGTTAGGGGCCCTACAGTCCTCATTCCGCCCAACCTCCCGCTTTTATCGCTTTTTTTCCTGACCGCTTATCGCTTAATTTCTGACTGTTCGCTGCTTTCCGACCGGAAACCGACTGCCTTTTTTCCACTTGCTCGCTCCTGCCTATGGCTGGCTTCAGAAACATCGTCCGACCACTGGAGTAACGATGATCATACATTGTATGTATAAAGTTTTTATTCGTAATAAATTTATGTTTTAATGACGATTCAAAATACAACGCGTATTGCTTCTCTGTATTGGGAAGACTGCTTCAAATCACTTGACACATTGTAACGTTCGCTACACAAGTCGAACTGTGACCTGTATTTACATATTTACGTCCTTGTGTGCGTAGTTCCAGCAGCTATATAACTGGTCATATAACTCGTGATATGTGTCAAGTACTAGTATTTGTGTGTTGTGTGTGTGTGTTTCTGTGTATGATTTTGACTAAATTTATTGCGAACGGTGCTCAAAATAATTTGGCAACTCACACTATGACCTTTACTCAATTTGTATAAGTAATATGAATGCTGTAGTTCAGAAAATCTATCTGGTTAACTATTGCTTGTGTCTGGGTGCGCAACACAAAACTGTACATATAATCATCGCATAGCTGAATTTCTACAAATCAATTGGACTTAAACTACTAGTATAATGACTGTGACGATTAATCGCTTGTCTGAGTACATGCGGCGACGAATTGTTGGATTGGCAGCAGCCGGATGAAAAACGAAAGAGATCTCAGAACAGTTATTTGTTGAGAAAAACATCAAACAAAACAAACTCAGCCAGTGATACATTTTGAAAATAAAAATACAAAATAAACTCAATCAAATACGCCGACCAAACGCAGCCAGTGATACATTTTGAAAATAAAAATACAAAATAATTGCAATCAAATACGCTGACCACACACGTTGGAAATAAATAAAACGTGTTGTGACACAGTCTCACCAAACTCTTTCACTCGCGCAATATAATTATGTTATTTCCCAAAGCACTTATATTTAATACATTGACGAAAAACACCGCAAGAAAAATGTAAATCAAGCTTGTAATTACTAGTAACTCAACTCGAACGCAATGTTGATCACTGTAAAAGTGGATAAATTTGAACTGTCATCAAATTCAAATTCAATTCAAACGATCTTGATAAACTCAATGTTTAGAAAGACAAAAACAAATGTGCCATTTCAAAGGGCACCCTTACAAAAAATGTCTGCGATTGTGTGAACATGATAACGTGCAAACAAGGAACAGAGCTCGTGGTCCACCAAGGAAACTTAGCAATGGCACAGTTAGATGTATACGGCTGTTGAAAACAGACTCTTTCGATCTTATATGAGCAGGTTGACGTGGATGTATCATTTTCAACTATTACCAACAACACTATGATAATAAGAGTTTTCGACATTGTGAAATTCTTTTGTTTTTATGTAGAAAAATACAGTATTTTTACGAAGTAAAATCATATTTATTAAAGTTATTGTTCATACACGAGTTGTTGAACACACTACATAGTTTGTAATTTCATCCAGTCACGATTCAAGACAAATAAAAGGCACAAATATTGATAATATAGCAAATTATTTTTTTCTGTAATATTCGTGTGTAATCAGTAATTATAAAAATAATTTATGGGTACATATGGAATACATTTTGTTCTGAATTATTCTTAATATACATTTCTAAATTACCTTGTCAAAATCGTTTTTTATCAGGGTTTTTCCCCCAGAAGACGAAAGAATTTCATAATGTCGGGGACGGGAAGTCTTTTTTTTTATTATTTATTGGGAACGGAAAGTCTTTATCGTAGTGCTTCGCCTTGGTTGACAATGAGCTCTTCGGGTCGCTAAAACTGTAAGTCCACCTCTGTTGGGGTGAACATTTGTATTTATATTATACCGAATAAATCTTAAAACAGAAATTGTGGCACTCAATCATGGCAATCTTCCAGGTCATCATTAGATTTTCGGAGGCAAATTTAATCTCCACTCAAAGCTATCTTGAAGGATTGCAGGAAATTAACCCTTACCGATTCATATTTATGAATTAATCGGGATTCAGGTACCATAGTGTTTGTAACAGAGTATTCCTAAAGATACGCAAAAAAAAAAAACGAACTTTTGCGTCGGATTTTTCATGCAAACATTGTCGATGGTTCCCCGACACCGATTCCCTTTTAACTTTCAATTTTCTTAAGACGCGGCAAACCCTGCTCATGACCGGAGACGTCGTCGAGATGCAGGTGCGATTCCTCTTTGCAACGCGTTCTATTTATTTCCAACGCGTGTGGTCAGCGCCTTTGATTGCGTTTGTACAACCCTAATAATTTCACGTACAGATGAAATGTTTACTTACAAGTGCCATAAAAAGATAATAACAAAATCTAGGCAAGGTTGGGTTTCTCTGTCCGCAGTAAATTAACTAAAATTCTCAAAATAAATTAAGTAAACATCATTATGATGTACCATATTTGCTCTATTAGAAACATAGCACATATAAACTAAAATTAATATCACTTATTTTTTTCATGGAATTTCTGTAATTTTATGTAAGCACATATGTGCTACTAATAGAGCAAATACAGTACCCTATGTATGTAACCATAGTTACACTGTATTCATCATATCTGACAATTATCTTTACCTGATGGTAATATGTAACCATATAGTTACATTGTGTTCATCTTAGATGTACCATGGTGCTGTATTGGAAGTGTGTAGCTGAAAGATAGGAAGATTTCCTCAAATACAAGGCAAGTATGATCAGTCTCTGTAAACTGTACTCAGTGTGCTTCTAGGTTTGTTTGTCATTATATATGTGTCACAAAACGCATGTGAATAAACAACACTTAAACCGGGCAACATTAATGATCAAGAGAAATTAAGGCGGAGTTAATTTGCCTGTTCGCTAATTTTTGGTTGCATTCTTGTCTGTTTGTGGAGCATAATGGTTTGCAGTGTTCCCATATGTTAGCTGCCGACAACATTTATACAAATGTGAATTTAGGTCGGCATTAAGGTAAGTAAATGAAAAAACATTGACACCTCTTGATTATTGTTAAAATGTAGTGTTTATACATTACCTTCAAATGCACAACAAGGTGATAACAGAAGACAAGCCATACTGTGAAAAGATTCAGTTGAAATATCAAAGACAACAGATAGACATCAGTCTAAAAGCACAAAACATTCAGAAATCATCAAACTTGATAACAAGTGTGTTATGATGAATGGTAGACAGAAACACATTTGAAAACAAGGGAGAAATTCATGCACCATTGCATTAAATTGAGACAAGAAATTACATACATACTGATCATTGTTTAAGACTGGTATAATACATCATTTGTAAAAATTTAAGTAACTAGGTATTGTTGGTTTAAAATTCATGCTTCCAGTCGCCATTTTGTGCAAAACAATCGGCACTATGACTGAACCTGCACGAGTGTTCTTTTTAGTCCCCATTCGGACGCAGTCCGAAAACGGGGACTTATGTTTTGACCTCTGTGTGTCCGTCCGGACCTGTATCTTAGAAATGCCTAGACCAATCACAATCAAAATTCACACATACATCATATCATACATATGCACGTCAATTTGTTTCACGATCTGATTCAAGATGGCCGAATGGCGGCCATTTTTGTGCTAAAAATCATCAAAATCAAGCATTTTTCGGCTGTTTACAGATGGATTTTGTTAAAATTGGTATATACGTTAGACATTATAGGACCTTGATGCACATCATTTTGTTTTTCAGATAAGATTCAAAATGGCCGAATTTTAAATATTCATTACCGGGTATTCATCATGTCATAGATATATTGGTTGACGATCCTTTTCAAAGTGGCCAAATGGTGGCTATTTTTGTGCTAAAAAAATCCTCAAATATCAAGCATTTCTTGCATTTATGGATGGATTTTGTTCAAATTTATAACATACCATTACAGGTTCCTGATGCAAGTCATTTTATTTTTCAGATCAGATTCAAAATGGCTGACTGCCGGCCATTTTGTTTTAATGATTGGACTTCTAGAGCCATATCTCTTAAATGCTTTAACTGATTATATTCAAATTTTATATACCGGTATACATGTATTCAAAATGGCTGATCTTGAATGCTGTTCTAGAGCAATATCTCTCAATATGGACAAGTACTTGTTTGATGTCAATCATTTTAATGTTAAAAAATCATATTCCTGACCTGGTTATATTCCAGCTATATTACTTTAAACAAAACTATATATCTTAAATTTGATAACTAACGGGGACTGTGCCATGCATGGCTTGTTTAATATGTTACTTTTTCAAAGAAATATTCTAAAATTATTATATTACAATAAATCAAGAAAACATGGCAATGTACATCTACTGAGATTTATGGATTACTGTTATGCCTTCAACCTTTTTTTATGTACAGGGAAACGGCAAGTGTATTGCATTGTAGGTAACTATTTTATATCACATGACCATCATCATATATGGACTCGAACTAATTCAATGTGTTTCTTTTCTCATCCAGCATTCATAAAGAGTGACAGGCCCAAACAATTTTCAAATTTAAAAATAAAGGTAAGAAGTCGTCTCACTTGTATTTCATTTTAACCTGAAATAACTTATTCGTAGCCATTTTCTTTTTTTCTTAGTTCACATAAATTAGTGGAATCAGGCATTTTATTTTGATTGTTTGTGTACATTTTTTTTATTAGTAAAAATACAACCCTTAAATGTAAGTCAGTTTGTTGAGTGATCTGATTATTTGCTTTGTTATGCCTATTATATAGCCTGGTGTAGAAAATGTAACAGTAGCTAAGCTTTGTATTCTCTTGTACATACTGTATTTATCCTTGTAAGAGCCCAGCATCCTGAACATGGAAAATTACTAAAAAAAATAGGCCTATGCCCAGACATCCCTTGCTAAATAAAAACGAAAATTCACAACATGCAGACCGAATAGAACGGCAACAGAAAGAAATGAACAATATGCAACATTAGAAGTATAACAAAAATAATTTATTGCTCATAATAGGCTTAAAATAGGATGTTTTTTTTCCCAACGACAGAAGAATAATTTTCATGACAGAAATTCAATAGCGGTGATGAAAGATGGTAAAAAAGTTGAGTCTTCGGCGTGACATTGCAAAATTGCTGGCCCCAGTTATGGATTCCCAAGCTGCTACACATAAAGCCAAGATAACATGATTTCAACCACTCTCATTGTCGATGGCGCTAAAGCCGAACGAGTGCGACACTTGCTTCGCGGCTCTCCATATACTGTAAGATTTGCCTGAATAATTGCTAAGGAAGTCCAAAACAAACAGCCGGCCTTTTTCAAAAAGAGAACTACCGTTTCTGTTTTAATATACATTTTTGTAGACTTGCTGATTGTTATGATTCTGTAAACATGTAAAATTACGTAAACAGCGGTGAACGCAGAATTAACTTTTTTGTTGTCACAGCTATTTCGCGTTCACTCCTTGTTTTACGTAATTGACAATTTTTATCAGAATCACAACAGACTGCAAGGAAGTCAACTGTTAATACAACAAACAAAAAATAGGATTTTGTTATTTTTTTCATTACAAGTGTAGAAAAAGACATATGCATATGCCCGGACATGACCCCAATTTCTTTATTGTACCAAAATTTAGGGTGGGTGTTCGCCCAGGTATGGGCTCTTATCCAGATAAATATGGTAGTATATGTTGAAAGAAATTGGTTTGAATGACCAGCGCCCTCACTCACTTGTATATTTCCTTTTTCCTGCAGTACAAGAAAGGACAAGATCCAATCTTGAAGTTTACAAATGAGAATAACGAAATAGAAGAGACATTAAGTATTAATAAATGGAATACAGACACAGTTGAAGAGTTTTTGAATGAAAGACTTCGCAAATAGTTTTATTATTGTCATATTCATGTGGTTGTCTTGCACAATCATACTAAAAGCCTCCAATTTTGGTTGATCAATACAACTTCCTGAAAGTCTTTTGATTTTTTTGATTTACTGCTTATACTATTGTCAGTGGTTTGCCCTATGGTAATAAGTGTGTTTGGGCAATAGAATTTGTTTTCACGGAGAACTGTTCACTTTTTACTCATGGAACTGTATTGATCAACTTTTAGGAGAAAGTAAACACACACTACTCACTGCATTGGTAGGGTTGATGGACAAATATGATGCAGATTACAGCATGTATGGTAAAGAACTGTTCCTGAGAAAATGGTCACAAATTTATTGTTTTTATTTTAGCCCTTGGTAATTTATGCAAGTTGTGTGATTTTAATCACGAAAACCACCATCTCCTGATTCGTTTCATTTGCAACATTGGAATCTGATTTTTTTTACTCATAAAACTTTCATACATTTTTCAACACTCAACACCAGTCATGAAAAAAGATGTGTTCAGTACTAAGGTCAAAAGGTCAAAACAAAACCGCTTTAAGTGCTTGCTGTAATCAATATTTGTCCATCATTCTAGACAGGTTTTGTTCAAGATGTTAGCATTTAGTTTCACTTCACATGAACTTCAATATTTACTGTTTACCATCTCAATCATGTTTTGTTTTTTCGAAAAAAGTAAAAATATATTCTTTTTTTTCAGATTGTGAAAAAACTGTTATTGATAATCTTATAACTTTTAAAAATACTGATGTCAGTTATTTTTGGGTGATCTGAATCGTGCTACTGTCATTATCCTATGGGCCTTGGAGACATTTCAGTAACATTGTTTCATTGATATCCTCTGTACAGCTGTCACGACAACTGTTGCTAGGCACATAGATGAGAAATTTACAACAAACCGTAAAGGCATGTAGATTTTGATGACATGGTGCCAAGCAACTGCTCAACGCAGTTGATACCTCTTGTGAAATAATCAGCTTTCCAATTTTATAGTTAATTTAATGTACCATTCATGGGACAATTTCTCTTAACAAGGAACATATCCATCTTATTTGCATGCATATATCTGTGGCTAAACTATTATGAGATCATCTCCTAAGAAATCAGTTTGTAATTAAAAAAGCATACATAACTCCAATAAATGGTTCACCACCACGTTCCACTAAAATAATCTGTTGTTGTATGTACTAAATAAGGCCAGACTTTTTATTCCATTATATTTGTGTGATTCAATATCCAAGATTCACTGTCAACCAACATGCATAATGAATAGATCTGCGCGAGACTTCGGTACTTTGATCATGATACTTGGATTTGTTAGGTGCCGAGCGGAAACAAAATTAAGATAAAAAACAAGTCAACTGGCATGAGAAATTATGCTGAAATAAAATTTCATTTTCAGCTCCAGTTAATTCAACAGCCGAGAAGTTTGGTTGGGACTACCCTGCTTCCATTGTTCAAAGTGTAATACTCAAATAATACAGTGTACAACTTAAACCAAAAATTATCCCCACACCCACTTGTTAACCTTCTGTTTGGGGTCTTTGTTCTAGTATCAGGAGCAACCCTTTAATCACAAATATAGTTGATTGAATGGAGATGTGAAGTCTTGCACGAGTCGAGCTGAACATAATGGTTTGGCAGAAACAAATGCACCTGAGGAAAAGGTTGACCTGAAAATGTGCCTCAAACGTGTCATTGACATCCCATGTAAACTTCATTGCATCCATCCATCGTTTACAGAAATACAAAATCCAGAATGTAATTTTCAATTTTATTCCTCTATCAGACATGTCACAAACAATACAGTATGTATCTGTTAAATTAAGTATTTATAAACAAACATGGATTATTCAACACATTGTTTTGTTAAGACTAAACTCGTGACCTGCTTTTTAGCAGGCTCAAATTTACCAGGAGTTCTATGTTGAGAAATGTTATTTGATTCGATTGAATTTGAGTAATTATCAGTTGGTGAATGGTAAATTGAAATGCACGAATAAACCATTCTTGTAAACGGTTCTGATAACTAATTACCATAGCAACTGCTTCTCACCCAGAATATTACAATAAACTTGATTTATGTGAATACCAAGTGAACAATGAGCATGCTCAGTCCTTTGCCGCCATGACAATCCACCCCAAAGTTTGACCATATCTTTAATGGCATTCAGGTAGATAAAGCACATAAAATTTTCACAAACAAATGATTGAAAACAAGAGATACTATTAAAGCAAACACCATTTACTGAAAATCAACAATGGTTTAGAGTTGTTTTTTTTTATTAATTCACTGCATGTTAATTTATACTTGAACAGTTCGAGTGCCAAAATGAATGGCAGCAGATACTCGCAACTTGCAGTTCGCTATGACAACAAGACTGAACACTGCTCTCAATATAATTGAAAATGTTAAAAACTCAATAAAAACACAGGCACACTTCAATCAACACCACAGACTGAAATCATAAACATTTGTGTTTTTTTTCCTCCTACAATTCAGGTGAAAAAATTATACCCATACATCTACTAGGTTAACTTAAAAAAAAAAAGTGTCACACAATAATCCAAATGTTTCAGAGAGATAGCATCTACCATGAATTTAGTAAAATGTAACCACAAAATGTACGTCTGTGCATGTGATTGATTAAATACTGATCAGAAAAGAATAAATGTTTTCAACCACAATGGTCATGAATATTTCATCAGATGATGCAACTGAAATCAATGCCATTCTGTTCCTTCCTTCCTTCCTTATCAAACTCCCTGGTATCAGAGTAAACAGCATCCTGAGAAATGAACATATGGGGAGAAAAATATGCAAGGTTTTTGACATGCAAGCAATTTAGTTGAAAGACTTGGATTATTAGTTGCACATTTATCCAGTCAAAAAAAATTCTCATTTTTGTGCAATGATGTGTATACAAGGTTACCTTGCAGCTGGTGCCAAATTGCTGTTGATCAATATTTTAAATTCCAAACAAATATAAAACTGTAAAATACTATTTTTTGTTTAGATGAAATTAATGACATAGCCAGTTATCAGTAAAATTATTCACAATAACCATGGAAACAATTTATTTCGAGGCAACACCCACGCTAAAAGATGTAGATTTGTAATTCCTTTTTGTCTACATGCAACTTCAGAAATTCTTGCTTTGTATTAGACACAATGGTGAATCAAGTTTTGTTGTGTGTTTAAAATACTGGGTTTGATGTGACAGGGTTCCAAAACTTGATCTTGTGAAACAAGGCCTCTTCAGTGTTTTCACACAGGTTTTGCTGCAAAGATGATTACTATTTTGAATAATTCCATGGTAACATACAAAAACAAAGGAGAAATCTAAATAACACATTTTGAAAAACTGGACATTTGTGACACTGACAATAGCACCATCTAAATTTATGTAAACTAGCAGATATATATTATTGAAATGTAAAATCATGATATAAATTGTACTTTATTTTTGTAAACTACAAAATACTGGATGTCTATTAAAAGTTCAATGAAGTACGACTTATGATAAAGCACAAGAATAAAGATAAACAAAATAAAGACCCACTTAATGTCTGCATACATGACCATCAAATTGTTAGTGGAATTTAATCTATCTACCATGTAGAAAGCAAGCCATCCATCAGGTAGTGTTCAAAGTGCAGCGTAAATCAACAAGTGGAGTATACATAACAGAAAACCTCACCCCTCCAATCTATGGAAGGTGTTGTGCTAACTGGGGCATCCTGGATGCAATATGCGAGAGTTACCAACCTAATCAGAAAATTAATTAGTATTTACTTGTAGCCAGTTACCTAATAAGATGCAAAGCGTGAACCAATTCAAACTTGCAGAAATGTAAACCTGAAGCAATATTCAAATTTATTTGTTCAGTTCATGCAAATAGTAAATGGATGCTTTATTATTTCAAGTAGTGTTTCCCCGCATAGAAAATTATATTTTTGTTTGAATAGATGTTCAAAATTATCTTTGTCTAATTAACATTCACCATTTGTTCATAATCAAAGGAGTTAAATATATGACTATTTCAAAATTTTCAAGAATTGCAAGATCACAAATTTTGTTTATAAATTAGTATCAGTGGGAAGGTGATGAGAGTTAACATTTTATTTTTCAAGCTTGGACTAAGCACCCTCTATCAATCTAAAACATTCCTAAATGAACTAGCGAGGGCGCACTTCAGGAACGTCACATAAGCCAATCCAAGTTTTATAAAATTTTCCACTGAATCAAGTGCTTCAAAACAGCAACCATCGATATATAACACATCAATATAGAATTCTGACTTTACAAATGTATGTAAATTAATTTCCAAAAGTTTCTTGAAATATGTTTACCCCACCTCCCAAATCAAGACAATCAAATTGGTTCAGATTTAGATCGAGGAAAGCCTGAATAGATAATTGTTTCTTTTTTTCATAGAAAAATATACAATTAGAAAGCTGTTGACACAAATAATATGTACAAGAGAGCCAAAACCACAGTACGCAAGATGACAAAAAAGACCCTCCAAAACCTCTGAAGCAAATGAGTGGATATAAGGAACCCAATGTGGACACTGAAAATATTACTTTATTTGGTGCCGACATTAATTATAGATTTCTCACAAGTTGTCAGAGACTCCATCTCTTTCTCAAATTGAATCATGCAGTTTCCGAGACAATCAACCCAAAACAACGTACATGGCTGTAAATACGATATTCAGGGCAGCCAATAATTCTTTTAATAGCCAGACATGCTAAAGTCAAGCAGATTAACTTTTATGAGAATGCACTTGTCTTTTTACCTGCTACAACTTCAAATCACTAAATTGTAGAATATCAACAAATATTTAAACATTCAGTTTTTTTTTTTTTTCAAATAAAACAAATTTCAATTGACTATAATTAGATTAAAATAATTACGAAAATGTGCAAAATGTATCAGATAAAAATAGTTGTGAACACCCCACCTCACTTTATATTGTGTCTGTAATGTTAAACAAGGCAGACAATAGAATACACTGTACAGTATATGTACAACTAACAAAATGATCCACACAATAAAACTATAATGACAAATATTAGACAAAGCAAAAAAAAAAATTCCTGAGAAGCAAATATTTTAGCCGATTACCACTGTACACTATGATCGTAAACTGTTTACAACCCCATTGCGTATCAAACAAAATTTTATTTTCATACCTGACATTAACGCTTGCATGTATGATCATTTTTTTTTCTCCCCATTATTTTCAAGCTAAACAACTAATAATTGTGTGAGCGTAATGAGTCAACTGCGAAATCACCATGACAACCTGAAAGTGAACAATAAGTCATGCTCACACTAATTGCTGGGACTTGACCACACGCACACATACATTTGCTGACAAATACAGAAAAATATTTGCTTGAATGCACCAGGAATAAAACTGAATAAAACCAGTATGATAAAAGGTCAAAACAATTCACCATATTTGATTTATTACAAGCGCATCTACATTTCTTTTTGAATGTCAGAAAGCAATCTCTTGTTATGTTATTTAGCTTGACCTGGCATTTCCATACATGGATGTGTTTCTAATAAAACAGATATGGTTCCAGTACCAGTGAAAATTAACAAAACATTCATCATTTTAACAAATTACTATCAATGATGAATACTATTTCTAGATAGGGCTATCTGGTCTGGAATTGACGCCATTCCTGGGAACAAACTGCTGCCATTTATTGTTTTCTGGATCGTAAAACTCAATGGTATTAAGAAAATTCTTGCCATCAAATCCGCCAACGGCATAAATATGACCGTCTACTACAGCTATACCGACATTAGCTCTAGGAGTAGACATGCTGGCAATCTGGTTCCACCTATCAACCTTTGGGTCATAGCATTCCACAGAGGCAAGAGAGGATGTGCCATCACTTCCACCAACAGCATACAGTTTACCTGCAACAGAATGGAATAATCCTGATTGGTGCTGTCTGAGTTACCAACTTGACAGACAGATGTAATGGTTAGATCAGAAATACATTCTAATCTGAAAGAATTTGTGGAATATTTATGTAAGTGTACCAGTAATAGTAAACAGTGGTTTCCATGGTAACTAGATATTTGAACATTACTCTGGATAGCGCTAAACATATTAGCACACTTATAAAAACTGATTGTCAGTGCAAATAAATTCTAGTTAATTTTGCCTATGATCATCGTAAAACTTGTACAGAAATGTTGCATCTTGTGTCACTGAATCATGTGACATCACTGAATCATATACACACACTGACATGTGATGCCACTATTCCTCATCTCATACAAGTTAACATACCTTTACATTTCGTAACACCAGCACCTCGTCTGCAGTGATTCATGGGAACAATCAAAGACCATTCATTTTCAGTAGGATCGTACACTTCAACCGAGTTTAAGACATTCCAAGACTCTGCACCACCCACAGCGTATACCTTGTCATTCAAAGAGCACAAACCAACTTGAGAACGACCTGCATTCAAAAAAACAATGATTTATTTTAAATGTAATGTTCTTAGCGTTCGAGTAGTGCTTAATGGTTGCACACGATCAACAAAATTACACATCCATTCACAGTATGGTTCATAGGTTAAAGGTTAATTCACATTATGGTTCATAGGTTAAAGGTTAATCCACAGCAGCTGTTACTTTTATAAACTACTATTATGATAAAAATATGACAGGTATTTTTTAGCACAATTGGTTCAGTATTTACTAGAATATATATACAATATTTCTTGAATTAGAATTAATACTTAATGGAAAAAATAACCACAAGCATCATTAAAACGTCCCAAATTTGTTCAATGTGTCCATCCTTTGCGTGCCATTGTCAACTTTTGACGCCTGCAACAAAATGATTGCGTACAGTCTGCTTCTCCCCACATGTTAAGAATCGAAAAGCAATATCTGAAACTGTCAATATGGCATAAAATGTGAAAATATATTTACTGAATTTTGGGACAAAAATATCTGGGCAAAGAAAAGATTAAGGTAGCAACAGGGAAAATCCCATCATTTAGTTAAAATGATCTGAACAACTCAAATAATTATAGCAAACTATGTATTTTATGAAAGCTGAAATATTCAGTAATTTGATAATTCATATTTTGCAATGATTGTTTACATAGGGGTCATGTGACCAGGGATTAACTAGACCCTGTCAAAATAACAAAGCAAAAAGTTCTGCCCCAGCAATTTAACCATTTGATTGGGGATTTTCAGAATAATTTCGCTGTGAAAGGTACTTATAAAGTGTCGAATGTTTGTATGTGATTATTTTTCTAACTATTATCATAAATACTATTATTTCTTTAAAACAAGCAGCCTATCGGCTGAGATAGCTCCACTGTTAGCAATGCACATTTCAATTAAAGAACTGAAGACATCATTAGAAAATGAACAATATGTATAGTATCAAAGCAATTGGACTTGCAGTTTTTAACAAGAAGTCGAAAATATCACTTTTTACCAAAAATGACAAAAATATTCACCAAAATTAGAGAATTAAAGATATCATCACGAAATGAACAAACCTGAGAGAGGTCCACATGTAGTACCAATATCAATAAAATATCAAAGCAATTGGACTTGCGGTTTTTAACAAGAAGTCGAAAATATCACTTTTTACCATAAATGACAAAAATATTCACCAAAATTAGAGAATTGAAGATATCATCATGAAATGAACAAATCTGAGAGAGGTCTACCCAAGGTACATATACACCAAGTATCAAAGCATTCAGGGCTTGTAGTTTTCAAGAAGAAGTCGAAAAAGTAAAACATTGACACGGACGACGGAGACAGACAATCACTCATATGATAAGCTCCGGTCGACAGCGGAGCTAAAAATAAGACACTAATGAAGCTCAGGGGTCATAAAACAAGAAAAAATGGCAGCAAAATTCTCCCCGTCGACACTTTTGTTTGATATCCTGACAACACTTGGTGTTAATTTCAAGCGCGTACTGCGAGAGAAAGTACCGCCAACTTTTTCTTGAAAAGTTCAAAATAGTGCAGATGTGTGAACTGAGAAAACAAAAAACAAATTTATCTGGATGTTCGTTGTTAAACAACACATTTTTGTCTTTTGTCTTTAGTGAAATTGTGATATTTAATTGGTATTAGGATTGCGCAACCATTTGTCTTGTTTTTTTATTACAACAAACTGCATGGAGGGTGAAATCGGCGAAATTCCATTGCACTGGTTCATCAACATAGCGTCATATTCACTTCATTAATTCAAATGCTTTGTTATTATAAACGTACATGTAGGCTAGTCATCCTACTCAAGTATAGTTACTGATTATTTAATCGCATCTAGTTTATTTGCGGATTAGGTGAACCAAACATCAATAGGTTTAAGTTTAAATTATCAATACCGTTAGAACATTAAACATTTTTGTTTAGTTGCGACCGTGACTGCAGTTGCAACTACGCTGTGTAACATATTCGCGTGATTGCGATATTCAACACAATTCCGTCAGGTCTATTATATTGTTTTGGCACGGTTACTATAACCGTGGTTTTGGTTAATGTCTGCGTCATATTCATCGGTTGTTGTCACCACAGCAAGGGGAGATAAACAAAAAACTGAGACAATCAGTAGTGAAAAAGGAGATGTACAAGAGAAACACTTGTAAAAACATATCGTGTACGAAGACCTCAGACAACCAACAAATAATTCTTTTGTCTGAGCAAAGACGAAACACTTTTGTTGACTGGAAGGGGACAGGAAATAGTCTGTATTGCGTGACACATCCCGTTTAAAAACAAAGCTGGGGGGGGGGGTCTACTTCTACATTAAGTGGGTAAGGGTGTGTGCCCACCTCTCGTAACCCATACTCACTTCTAAACCATTTTTTTATATTTATATACCCACATTTAAACAAGTGTTTCCAGCGAAAAAAATAAACACCCAGCTCACAACTTTCGTAACCAGTAAGCGCACCCGGGCGATGCATTTTATTCAGCTTTTTCCGGTATTTGGCTTTGAATATAAGGACCGGTGAAAAAGTAAATAAATGCTACACACTTCTAAACCAAATCATTGACAAATGACTACCCACCTCTAAACAAAATAATGTGAAATTACACCTCTATGCAAGTAGCCCCCCGGGTTCTGTAGGTGCTGTCACACCGATTGCCTGTGACAATGCAACAAAAACATTATGAAGAATTCACGTTAGGTCTGGGTTTGAATATTCCTTGCAGCGGTAAAATCCTGGTGCAATCAAACAAAAATCCCCCAGGAAGAGTTATCCTGTACAAATGATATGCGTGCTGGGGACTGTTTTTTGCCTCTGACGTTACTGGCTAGAAATAATAAAAGGCCGTGCGATCTGAATCTATCAGGTATTTACTTGGCCATGTGTTGCTTGCGAAACAAAGAAACATGTGTCCTTTCAGTGTAATGCAAAATACGCCGTCAGCACCAGCGCCATAACAGTAACTTAATCGGGCTTGTTTTTTTAAACCATTGTTTTTAAACCAGGCTCCACTCATCTCGTCGATCACGGAATTATGAGAAGCGGTCAAACGCTTGGCCAATCAATATTGTCAATTCACGCACCCGGGCGGTCCACAAAGTAGACGCTTGTAAGAACTGAATTTACTTTCCAACATGGCCGACGCATGCCAATTCAACTCTGTGGCTGTCGTACTCTTTCTATATTATTGCTTATCATACATATTCTCAATATATATTTACTGCTCGATGACTAAATAATTGTCCAGCAAGACAACTTTATTGTAATGTGTGAATGAAACATTTTTTTCCAGTCAAAGCTGTGCTTGCTGTGACGATCGCTGGTGGTCACAACTACTCTGTAAAGTGTACACGTCGTGACGATCGCTGGTGGTCACAGCTACTCTGTAAAGTGTACACGTCGTGACGATAAACACATACTGAAAACAAGTTATATGGTGATATTGATGACAAATTAATAGGATACAAACTATTTTTTGAATGTGGCGAATTAATAATATACAAATAATAATAAAATAAAATAGGTGGGCAAATTAAGAGACTGTGAATTAATAGTTTTCACGGTAGTGTAAATAGCTGCCCCATCCATGGAGTCTGTCCATAAGCTCCACTAACCGAACTCCAATTTTCTTTCAAAAATGGCAAGACAGCATGTTGCTAATTCAGTGTTCTCCCCAGGCCAAAACAGCGTTGCGGGCCCCGACGCGATCGGATTTGCCCGCGACGCTAAGTGTTTCCTCCGCGATGCTATTATTTATCCCGTGATCTGATTTCTTCAGTCTCTCGCAGACTGTAAGTTTCCTGGCTAACTAGTTAAATCTACAAATGCAT